CGGCCCTGCCCCTCTGTTCTTCGTCCCAGCTGGGAGCCTCTTTCTTTGCACCCAGCCCTGCGCATCCGCCCCTCCCCCCCGTTCCCCAGCCAGGATTCCCGGGACACCCGGGCACGTGCCGCTACTGGATGCGAACCGTTGTGAAGTTTGAGGGTCGAATTCCTCAAGATCCACTCCGCCTTGCAAAAATGGGTTACCTGCTCGGGCCTCTGCTTGGGGGTCTTCAGCCCGTTCTCCAAGAGAGCACCCCGAATTAACCTTCCCCTGTGCCCGTGCGGGAGAGGGTCAGAGGGGCACCCGGGGCTGGAGCGTACCTACGGCCTTCCACATCCTTCGCGTGGAAGCTAGAGAGGGCAAGGGGACATCGTCGAGGAGACAAGCTGAGCGGACCCCGCTCCAGGGTCGAGAGGGAATGAGGAACTGGGTGCGAATGGAAGCTTGCGCTTCAACTCCGAGCAGATCGACCAGTTAAACCCAGTTAAACCCTGTTGCGAGTTCTATCCATCAAACAACTTAGGTGTCTAGCGATGGCTTTACTGAGAAACTCTAGATATCCGGTCTTCTTTTTATTTTTTTCTTTTAATATTTCTTTGTTTTTGTTTGGCGAGAGGTTTTAGAAACTAAAATGACATGTCCAAGGGTCATATCTGAGCAGGACGAGGTGGGATGAGCAGAGGCAGGCGCCCACCCCTCCACCTGCAGGCGGTCAGCTTCGCACCTGATGAGATCTCTAGGTCCCCACCCCTCCGCCCCGAATCTTCTCCCCGACGCCCCGCGCCCCGCACATCTGTGGAAAGGGAAGCGAGCTAGGCCTTATGAAAATCAGCTCCGAAGAAAACATCCGGTAAACATTCCTAGCGATATGGATATGCCTACTAAGATTTTACCTGTTGCAGGAAATGACTTGAACTTTTAGGTTCTGTAGTTCACAAACGTTTTCAATTTTAGATTATCAAAAATTTGTGTAGCTCTTTTATTGTTATATTTCCTCTAAAGTTTCTCATGTATTTATTTAAAAGTTAATCTGCCCGAATTTTAGTTCCTAGAGTTTGACAAATGGTAATTTGTCTTAAAAAAAAAAAGTTCACTTAGAAGTGAAAGACAGTGTCTTAGAAGTGAAACTTATTAAAATATATATTCCATCCCTCCCACTTGCACACACTATTACATTTATAGACCTTCAATCTATTAACAGCATATTTATTCTTTGACTCAGCCATTATATGTTACCAAAACTAAAATGCTATTGAGTAGAAGATGCACATTAACCTTTTGTCACCAAGTTAGAAAAAACACTGTCAGTTATACTATGTCATGTCACTGTAGGAAGCATTCTGACTTCAGAGATATTCAAATACAGGAAGGAAATATGCGTCTTATAATTTGTGAAATACAGTCTGATCGAGAGCAGAGTTCGACACTGCTTTTTCCTGAAATTTTTTTTTTCGAAAAAATGAAACTGGCTGTCTGCAATTCAGGAAGAATAAAGAAACAATAATTAGATGGGAGAACAGGTTTGCTGAATATGGCTGATGAGAACTGGAGAGAAGAGAAAACGAGAGGGAAAAAAAGAGACGTGGGCTGGGGTTAGTTCTGAGCCACTAAAAATTTTTTCCAGAGCCAGCAGGAAAATAAGTGCACTTAGTTCCCCTGCAAGCCAGGGTTTTACGAACTGGTACATGGGAGAGTTATTCTTAAGTATTGCTGTTGTGGTGGTTTTGATTCTGAGGATTTAAAAAATATATTTACAATTTGAGTGCGCCCAACCGCCGGAAACTATACCAGTGAGTCCACAAAAATCTTGAAAATGCTCCCAAATGAACAGGAAAGAAGAAACTGAGTCTTAGCATACTTTTGCTTTTCTCACAAAGGAGCAATGGGCTGTTGGTGCTGGTCAGAGGCCAGTGAAATGGGGAAAGTCAGCACAAAAATCAGGGGAACCACTCACAAGCCAGTGGCTGACTACTTCACCTCTCCACGAGGGGCAGTGAAAATGACACTTCAAGTCTTCTGGGAGGAAGTAGGGCCCGGGTACCCTGACAGCTGGTACCCTCCCTTGACCAAGTTCCCCCACCCCAGCACCAATTCTTTGAGCTAGAGACATGGCTCATCTTTACAAAGGAAACTGGAATCAAGTACTGTTGTAAAAAAGAGGTCAAAATGTTACTCTGCTGTATCACAGTAACAGGTGACAAAGCCATTCAAACACAAGTGCAAAGTGAACAGAAATGATGTGTGTGGGGCAGGGGAAGAGCAACGTGCTTGCAGAGAGTCTTACTAAAAAGAAAACATTACTCTTGGAACAGAACGAAATTTCTTACACTAGGTTTAGACCTGCGACAACTTGATAAAAATATGAATTCAATAAAATAAACTCGGAGATGAAAACATGTGAAAATTGAGATGAAAAGGGAAATCGCAGACTTAAAGGAATAAATTGAAGACCAGAGAAACATAATTGCAGAAGAAATGCTAAAAGGACAGAATAAATACAGCTGAAAATAAATATGTTTTAATAGACGAAAGGCTTGATTTAAGCCCAATGAATGCGGATGAAGAGACAAAGATTAAGTCAGTTGGAAAGGATCTGATGTGGAAGACAAAGCACGATCAAGCATTAGGGTTAATTGGGATCCCAGATATAGAGAAACCAACAAATGGGACACAAAATGCCACCGGAAATAGAATAAAATAAATTTTATTGAAACAGAAATGATCTGTAGGCCAAAAGAAAATGCCATTTTCCAGGTACTAAAGGTACTAAAATACAAAGCTTTTTCTTCCACAGTCTCTGTGTCTCAACTTGCATTTTTAAATTTGCTAATGTCATTCTGAGTAAAAATAAAATTTTAAATTACCAGCCTGAATTTTACTAGTCTACTTTATATTGTGCAAAGCCAGAACTAACCGCAAGTATAAGAGCGATTAATTTGTATGGGAAATCACCAAATTACACAATTGGCATTTTATAGCACATCTTCGGAAGGTGCCTCCAACTAGCCAGAAGAAATAAAGTGAAGCCAGTCTCAGAAAGGTAGCAAGGAGGAAGGTAGCAAGGAGGAAGAGGGGTCTCTCCATACACACAGCCAGCCCAAGGAGCACATGCTCATGCACAGAGAAACTCAGGGCCAGTGCAGTTCCCACAGATATCCAAGGAACCTTGCACTGGTGATTCTGGGCACACATGAAGTTGGGCCTGAAGGAAGCCAGAACCCACCTTCTGCTAGCCACCCCACACCCCAGCCTGGGTTGGGCTCTGGGAAAGTCAAGTCTCTCCTTCCCAAGGACCTGCCATCCCAAGCCACAGCATGCAACATCCAAGAGTCTTTAAACCTCTGCTTCTGGACGTGCTAGGTACCTGGATCAGGGCTGACCTAGATGCCCACCCCCAACAGACGAGCTGCCTCCTGGGTGAAGCAGGGCACTGACAGCTCAGGGTAGGGACAGCTTCCACCCTTCATGTTCCCCACCCTCCCTGCACACACAGCTGGCAGGCATCAGTGCAACATGGGACTCTCCAACAATGTGATCCAGCTGTCACCCCACATGAAGAACATCAGCGGACATGGCTGTAGAGAGGATCCAGGCCGGGCCTGGGACTCTCACCCTGCAAAGGAGGAGTTAGTGAGACCAAGTGTGAGGCTCCGAGCCCAGCACCTGTTCCATTGTCCCGTCAGACTTCACTAACAAAAGACCAGTGCAAGGATAAAGTTATTAAGAATTTCAAAACAGCCACAGGAGAGCAGTAAACCAAGTGTGGGACTCTTCTGCATGCAGGGCCCAGGGGACTAAAGCTGGCCCTGGCCACAGAAATGACAGTAACAAGAGCTAGGCTTTAGGAAGGCTGATCTATTTGTAGTCAGGGAGAGTTTTAAGGAGCTTTATTAACAATGCCGGGCAGGAAACCAAGATGAGAAATTAGGATTTCCCAGAAAGCAAGACTCTAGTTAGTTTCCAGACATCTGGAGTGTGAGTCATCAGGAACAAAGAAGGGAGGAGTGTCCATTGACCCAGAGAAGGAGAGTAATCTAATTGTGTAGTTGTGTGTGTGCATGTTTCTCTGCTGCTAAAGGGACCAAGCGTTCTATAGATGCACTGCTATCAGAAAAGATATACTGCCATTAGAAAAAAAAAAAAAAAAGAGGGACCAGAGGCCACAGGGCAGATGTTCAAGTATAAGGGAGTCACCCCCAGTGTGGCCTTCTAAAGTCTAGGTGCACCCAGAATCTAACAACTATGCAAGCCCTCAGCTGAAATGACTTTGCATAGTCCGAAGACAGCTCTGTAGGTGTTCTAAATGGGTACAGTATTACGCGGTAAGTTTTGGGTGGAGGCACCTGGATCCCTCATGGGTGGT